CCCCAAAACCCCAAAACCCCAAAACCCCATAAGAGTCAAATTTGAATTATAGAGAGGTATTAAAATTATAAGTATAATTATAAAATTCCTATGATGAAAAAGAAAATGCATGTTATGATCTTGGGCGACGGAGCAGTCGGCAAGAGTTCCATCCTCAAACAATATCACAACAATAAATTCACCAATCAGCATATTAAAACGCTTGGGGTTGACTTTATTCAGACACAGTACAAGAAGGGGGAATAAAGTTTCGATGTAAAGATATGGGACACTGCTGGGCAAGAGAGATTTAAAACTATCACATATCAGTTTTACAGATAAGCTAATGGGATGATAATTGCTTTTGACATTACTAATCTCGAGTCCTTCGAAAATGTAAAGACGTGGATGAATAGTATTTATAAGCATGCAGACCCAAGCATCGCAAAAGTTCTTGTGGGGAATAAAATCGATTTAGAAGAGTAGAGAGTCGTCACAAAGGCTGAAGCCACTAAAATCGCTTAAGAGCATGGCATGGATTACTTTGAGACATCTGCACGAGATAACATTAATATATAGGAACTGCTGCAGTATATAATGGACAAAGTCTATGATAACCTCTACTCTAAAGGCACCAATGAAAACGAAGAAGTGGATCATGGAAAAACTAGCATCTAAATCAATAAGAGGACCTAGGCTTAGAAATCAGGTGCAGGGAGCAATAATGGAGGTCTTGGTGAAGAATGCAAGTGCTGAATATTATCACAGTTAATATATGTTGTTAATGAATGGCGTTCTCTTAATTATGGTTTAAAGTTTCATCTTATTCTCTCTTAAACATCTCTATTCTAGAGAGTCAGTTTCTCTCTATGCTTATATCACTATTAGTCAGAATTAATCAAGAGAATATCTTATTAATATTTATGAAGCGGCAGTATTATCGTTTATCTATGTGAGTTGTTATTTTAAATTCATCGCAAAATCGTAATCATTAAGAAAGAAATCGCCAAACTAAATTTCTAATTTTCTTTTATCCAGCTACTTTCTGATACACGGGGTTTTGGGGTTTTGGGGTTTTGGGGTTTTGGGG